TTTTTTTTTTAAATTAAAATTTTTCAGAATCAATATATTAAAAAAAAACTAGAATATTTAAAAAAAAAACTAATTTTTTTAACAAAAAAAATCGACGTTTTAGATATATATATATATATATATATATATATATATATATAATATATATATATATATATGCATATTTTTCCAAATTTATATATGCATATTTCTTATACTACAATATTCGTAAGTAATCATAAAGAATCTCATTTTTATTAATCAATCTATAAACATAATACTACAAATATTTTATTCGATATAAAATAAAATATAAAAAAATATAAAAACTACAAAGATTCATAGTATGATCATTTCTTCATATCAAGATTTCCATATTTTCTTCACTTTTTCACTTTTCACCTTTTCAATATTTTCCACAAATTCTTCAAAATCTACAAGAAATTTAAAAAAAAATTGATTAATGCAAGAACACTCATGTGAATCATATGTGATTCACTTGTGATTTACATGTGAATTACTTGTGATTTACATGTGAATCACATGTAATTCATATGTGAATTACATGTTATTTACATGTGAATCACATGTAATTCTTATGTGATTCACTTGTGATCTACATATGAATCACATGTAATTCATATGTGAATCACCTTGTGATTCATATGTAACTCATATGTGATTCACTTGTGATTTACATATGAATCACATACAATTCATATGTAAATCACTTGTGATTTACTTGTGAATTACATATGATTCATATGTAAATTACATATGAATCACATGTAACTCAGATGTGATTCACTTGTGATTTACATGTGAATCACATGTAATTTATATGTGAATGACATGTAATTCATATGTGAATCACTTGTGATTTACTTATGAATTACATGTGACTCATATGTGAATTACATATGAATCACTTGTAACTCATATGTGATTCATTTGTGATTTACATGTGAATTGCATGTGATTTACATGTGAATCACATTTAATTCATATGTGAATCACTTATAATTTACTTGTGAATTACATGTGATTCATATGTAAATTACATATGAATCACATGAAACTCATATGTTATTCATTTTTTATTTACATGTGATTTACATGTGAATCACATGTAATTTATATTTTAATTACATGTGAATCACATGTAATTCATATGTGATTTACATGTGAATTTAAGGGTGGTAAATAGGTAAATTAAAGATTGGAAATTTGTTATGATTGTAATACTACAAATGTAGATATGAAAATTCAAGATTGGAATTGGAATTGAAATCAGAATGTGAAATTTTGGTTGGGCGGAATGGAATTCTATCCTAAAAATGAAATCTTTATTTATATTTAAATATTTTTTGTTTATTGTAAATGCATAAAACAATTTTTTTTTATTTTTTTTATTTCTGTATATGTAATGAGAGCATTTTGGTCTTTAATAAAAAAGAAAAAAATGAAAATATTGAGTACCTTTGATGGAAGCAATCATGGCCATGAAAGTCTATTCCACATTGGTGGAAATCTTTTGAACTGGTTTCAGGAAAGGAATTCCAAGTTCAATTCACCGAAAACAAAGAACAAAAAATTAAATTTAGAAATTATTTTTTCTTTGTGTAATTCAAGTGCTCAAAAGTTGTTATGCCATGAACAAAAAGAATTCAATTAATCATTATACATAATGATGAAGTGGTAAATCTTTATGTTCTAACAAATACCTGAGAAAAGATCATGTGAGATGATAATATGAATATATGATCGTCATCTAAAACATATGATATAAAAATATGAGTTTTATAATGAAATGAGTGATTCTAAAATGTTGACCTCAAACAACATGTCTATTCTATTTTATGTGGATGAAAAAGGGTGATTTATCCTAAAAAATCACAAAGCACCCAAACATAATGAAGATACTGCCATACATGCCATCTTTAGATCTATAAAAACTCATATCTTAATTTCAACAAAGGTATAAACCTTTGAATTCATTCTAAATTTCAATCGCAAGGTTACATTTAAGTCATATATAGAACTTGAAATCGAACATATTTTCTATCAACTTCAAATATTATATTCAAAATTAATGTATGTTCCATTAAATTTTAGGTCACGATGTAGATAATTGCCAACTGCCAATTTGCCAAGTTATTTTACTTATCAGAAAAACACGAATGAATTAACTAGATGAAATCATGTTTTGTTAAATAAACAAGCATCAAAGTTTCCACAAAAAAAATCAAATAACTATAACAATAGAATTCAATTCCGATGACGGATAGCTGAACATGAAATTACAGTGATTATTTGCAATTTATCAATATTCACTGTCAATTCATTGTATTTTTGAACATTTTATGCTTATTACAGTGATTATTTGCAAGGTTCATCTGTGATGTGGTTTTAATGTGTAAATATTTACCTGGTGAACAATACTAGAAAAACATGTTGTCAAAATCATGTTATCCCCATTTCAGAAAGGAAAAAATGGGTATTGCACCATATCTCATGGATATCATTGAAAACAACAATGAACTGTTTGTTTATATAATTAATAATTAATATTGTTGAAGAAAACTAGAAAAATGGACCTGTGCCAAGCCACATGGCTCAAATATTGATGGGATGATGAACATGTCTGATGCTGCATATATAGAATGGGAAAGAGCCTCATCATACTTGAGAATCAGTCGAATATGTTCATGGTTTTGAAATTTCCTTGCAATTTCCCCGAATTCCATCTACAAAACAAATTACTTTTAATTATCTCTCTAAAAAACAGACATATTTGTCCTATAATTTTTTCTTTTAAAATTATCTTACATGGATATTTGGCACAGGGCTAGAACCAAGCAATACAAATTGTCATCCTAATTCCAATGCTCTGTATATTGCATGCCTGATGAGATGTACACCTTTCCGTGGGACCAATCTTGTTATACATCCAACCTGAATGATATGCATATTTGTATTAAGACGAAATTGATTTTAAATTAAATATAGTTTTAAAAAGGTGTTATCCCTATTTCAGAAAAGAAAAAAAATGAGGAATGCAAAGTTGAAACATCAACTTGAAACAAAATTCAAGGTACATGTTTGCTTGAACAACATTTGCACTTCTTGAACATCAACTTGAACGAATGGTTAATCACAAGGTCTACTGGCACCTGGGAAATATGAGGATTTGAAGGAATTAAAAAATGTTGATGCTTTAAAAAATATGTGAAGTGGATAATTAGAATATTACTTACCAATGGGTTGATCTTCTTGGAGTCACCACTGAGTCTGTTCATAGCATCTCATATACAAGCAAGGTCAAATACACCTAGAACTACAGTAAAATCCTAAGAAAAATATCATGGATTATTATAAATGAACAAAGGAATGCAAAGTTGTATACTTGTATTAAGCCAATATACCTTGATATTAAAGCAAAGCAACTAAATCTGGTTCAGGATTTTCGTCGAGCAACTTGCGTGCACTTCAGAAAACCTGACACTTTGAATACAAATTGACTATATTTTCACTAGACGGGTCCATGTTAAAGAGAACAACAATATTCATAAGGCCACACATGAAGGAAAAGAGCAATAGAATTTTATATTTTCATGAAAATGTTCTTCTTAACAAGAAACCTTCTAAACTCTAAGTAATTTCAATATCACGTATTATATTGAATCCGATAACTAACTCAGTATACGAACAAGCATATAATAAGCATATAGATTGTCAACTTAATTTTGGTAATGCAGAAAAGAAAAAGTGATATCTGATCTAAAAACCCGAAGAAATGCAGAAAAATAAAAACCTCTGTTTAGGCAACTTCCGGTGGAGGAAAATTGAGACCGAGATCGAGAGTTAGGGATCATCTTCTTCGTTTAGGTCTTCAATCCACAGAGGAAACCGAGATGAAGTAGGCGATTACGGTGTACTTCGGGGAACAAATTGATGGAGGATAAAACGATTCAAAATCATAGCATCTTCAGTGGAATTTTTTTTATGAAGAACATGATATCAAGGAGTGTGGCAGCGACAATGAAAGCTGGATAGAGATGCACAACGCACATTTTGTTGATTCAATTTGGATCTGGAAAGGGACCTTTACTACCTTCTTCATTTCATTAATGGCGGATCATGTAACCAGATGATTTTAGGGTTACGATTTTCTGTATGAACATAACTAAGATCAATGTGGTGGAGACGATGGTGCTTTAATGAAAGATCGGCGGACTCAAAGATTGAAACCAATGGTGATTGAGGTCGATCGAGGGAAGAGGGGTGATTCGGTGAAGAAGATGACGTGAAAGAGGAGAGAGAGAGAGAGAGAGAGAGAGATCAAAGATTTAATCGGGGGAATTAAAAGAATTATTTTATTCCTAAAATGCCTCCTGATTCATTTTAAAATCATACCTCTGTGTCTTATTTTGTCTATGTATTTACAAAAATGCCACAATACATCTTGGCCATCATTTTTTTTTATCCAACGCTCCACTTTTAGTTCTCGGGTTCTCGGGAAAACTATGAGTTCTCAAATGATCGTTCTTATATATATATATATATATAATATAATAGATATATATATATATATATATATATATATATATATATATATATATATGGTAATTAAAAAAAAGGTAGGTCCTAGGATCTACCTAGTGTCTTGTTACCTACGCCACTGTCGAGTTAGAGACTTCTAATTATAATATCAAACAGTCTGAAACTGAGTGAGACTTACGGCCCTTAAATTCATATGTATGGAGAAAATGCTTTGATTATTACATTGTATCCAAATTAGTTTTTTATTTTTTTCTCTTTAACGTATCCAAATTACAATTACAGTTCTATAATATAGCAAACTTTATGTTTTTCCACTATCAATGATCGATGATTAGGTTGGCAGGTAACAGGTAATTTTGGTGCGGACTAAGAAACAACCTTTTAAAATTTCAATACAAAAACATTGAAAATTCGTTGTTTATACGAGAAAATAAAAATAAAAATAAAAATGGTACAAGGATGCGTTTGGCGAGAAACGCGAATTTTGATAACAGAAAATATAAATCTAGGGTTTCAAATTTCTTTGTATCTCAACCCCCAAAATTTCCTCTTTTCCCTCCCTTTGCACAATTCCCTCAAGAATTCCCCTCCCCCACTTTTACCTATTTTTTTCATTGGGAAAATTTCTCTTCTCTTCTAATCTTCATTATCAATATCATCGTTATCATGACCTAATGGGCCCTTGTTTTCTACGGTAAATTCATTCACCTAATCTTGATTGTGATTTTGATTTTGACCTTAAATGTTCGTAATTGTTCACTCCAGCGTATGTTTGCCAAGCAACTGTAATCGTAATTTGTGCTGATTCATTTGCAGGGTCCTATTGGTGTTTTGGTTAGTGTAGGAGGGTTCAGGTTGTTCTGGTTGGTGAATTAAGAATAGGGAATAGTTAGATCATAAACGGTCTCATTGTTGAAGGGGGTGAAATCATTGGTTAATTAACAAGCTTTGTTTTTGTCGATGTTTTGACGGCTAATTATCTACGTTTGGTCCAAATATGGAATCAGAGAGCACGCATCCTTCGACCAGTTTAGTCAAATGCTGTGATTGCAGTTGTAGTTCTTGCGATACAACAACTGGATCTTATTCTAGATCATGGATACGTTCTGTGAAACGAAAATTAGACGAATATGAAGGAGATGGCGGCAAATTTTTCATACCAGGTCTTCAGATTCATGATGTCGCCCGTGTTGAAATTGAAAACGAATGCGATGTATTACGTGAAATGGTCAGCAATCAACAACGCACCATTCAGGACCTCATTTCTGACCTAGAAGAGGAAAGGTACGCTTCTTCTTCAGCTGCAAATGAAGCCATGTCTATGATCTTAAAATTACAACGTGAAAAAGCTGAAATCCAGATGGAGGCCAGACAATTTAAGCGTTTTTCTGAAGAAAAAATGGCTCATGATCAACAAGAACTTATGGCGTTAGAAGAATTGTTGTATAGAAGGGAGCAATCTATTCAATCGTTGACTTGTGAAGTTCAAGCATATAAACACAGAATGATAAGTTATGGTCTTACAGAATCTGAAGCAGATGGGGATAAAAGCTTCATCACACGTGAAAATAGTGTAGCCACAAATCTAGAAAGCCAATTTCAATTTGATTTTCCTTCATATGATTACCCTCCTCTCAAATGCAATTCAAATGAAAATCAACCTTATCAAGAACATGACAATGAAACAGTTGATATAGAAAAGTATGCATTCGGTGAAACCCCACGTTCATTAAAAGACATTGAAGAAAGAATCAATCAATTGGAGAAAAGCCCTACGCATAGTCAACCCGTTCTTGAAAAAGTCATAGTTGGTCATTCCCCAATCAAGAAACATTCTAGAAGATTCTCCTGTGATAGTGCTGGAACATATTATGCAACTGTTAGAGAAGACTTGAGTGGCAATGTGAAGAAAATGGAGGATGATTTTACCACTTTCAAGAAAGTTGAAACCGTTTCAGAATTTGGAGATGACACAAGTGACAGGATTTATACCATTGATTCTATACATAATAACAATGATCAAAAGGCGAATATTGGTAGTTATGATGATTTTATGAGTAGTACACCTAAAGAGTCATCTTCACGTACTGATATTGAAGATCCAGAAGTGAAGAAGCTGTATATGAGGCTTCATGCACTTGAGGCTGATAGGGAGTCAATGAGACAAGCTCTTATTTCTATGAGGACTGATAAAGCTCAATTGGTTTTGTTGAAGGAGATTGCTCAACAGTTGGCTAAAGACATGTCACCTCCAAGTAGGATGATTGGAAAGAAGGCATCTAGTCGTATGGATTCTTTCTTCTTCTCACTTTTCAAGGTAACGATAATATTTGTTATTTAGTTAAGTTTGTGGGTTGAATTTGTAAGTTTGGTATTTATGTTTGTAATGTTGTGGTGTTTTGCAGAGGATTGTAACATTTGGTTATTTTGGAAGGAGAGCACAACGAAATAAGTAAGTAACTGATTTATTTGCATCTTGTTTGTTGTATTTTATAGAATGAATTTATGTAATTTGTAATGAGAAATATTTTTACAATTTCAGGCAGATTTATAGTGCGCTGGCAGACAATGCAGGGTTGCTAATGCTTCTAAATAAGGGACCTCAGATGGGGCAATGGAGGTGCCTTTCAACTACACAAGTTTGATTCACAAATTAAATTAGAAAAACAAAATCACTCTGTATCCATTTTTTTTTTTGCTTATGTCATCCATATTAACTAGCTCTTGAACGTGCTGTATTTTTACATCACACGCTTATATTTTTAGATTTATCTGTTATTCATTTTGATTTTCAAAATTCATATTCACATCTGGTTTTGTTTTTGTTGCGAATATGGATTTGATTAACTACAAAGTTTTACTTTCTTGCTATTTTTGTGCTTCTTGTGTTATGCTTGCAACATTTGAAGCTTTTCTTTTTGTCAAAAACGAATAATCAGACTGTAATTTTGGGCCTTCTGTACCGGGTCTATATAAATGGGCCTTTTTGTAACCGGGCTTGCCTTTTAGGTAACCTTTTGAACTGATTCTAAATTGATGTATATGACTCGACTACTACTAGAGGTGGGCAAAGGGATTGTCTGCCTTTTCTTTTCTTTATCCTGCCAAGTGCCAACACCTCTCTCGTTTTTGTTAAAATTGATAAATATTGTGAATTACTTTTGGGGAATTTAAGGATAAAATTGCCATAACCCGGAAACCCAAAATGTAATAAATAATATTGAGTAAAAGATTTCAACCAATTTAAATAAACAGGTTGAAATGACACGATCATACAATGTTAAGGTTAATTTAACCCGTTTGTCAAGCGTAAATCTTAAACCTCTCAAATTGATATGAACCCGACACAATATAAATGTACTCATTCAAATAAATGATTGAGTTTTATGTAGAAAAATCTCATTATTATGAAATTTTTTGATCAAGTCCTAATTTTGTTTTGAACAGAAAAGTACCGATTATTTAGTTTTACACGATAATATGTCATTTCTTATTAAAATAATTTTTTTAGTGAATTTGGGCAAAAATATTAAATAATCGGGACTTTTCTGTTAAAAAAGATGAAGACTTTATCAAAAAGTTTCCCAAAATAATAAGATTTTTCTGCGTAAAACCCTAAATGATTTGACACAACACAACACGACACGAAAATTAAACAGATAAAATTAGAGCCAAGTTTTTTCAATAGTTTTAATGTTTAAACACGACACAACGTTTTTTTTAGCGGTCTATAGATAAAATTGTTATTTAGTATTTATTTAAACAATTAGTTCATTTAAAAAATAAAATCAACAAAATTTATATATAGACGCCCGTTACTTTATTCACACGTGACTTAACACAGACTACACTAACATGTATATATTATCACTTGAAAACACGATATTGCATTGCCACATTAACAAGTTGCAAGATAGGCATTAACATGTATGACAACTCGATATTTCTGACGAACACGTCGTAGTCATATACTCATATACTTTGTTTTAGAGTATGGCCTTTTAAAAAAAATATTCACCATACTCTTGTGCTTTTCAAAATATTTATTTATGCCGGAGACCGTCATTCTTGGTTGCTTGCTCTCCGGCAATCGAAACTAACCAATATCAAGTATCAAAATTCAAAACACTGACAAAGATACATCTGGTGTTTTACTCGACTAAAAACAAAGAAAAAAAAAACAACCGAAAACAATTCGAAAGCATTAACCAAAATCCCCCTCTATTTGGTATGTTTGCTCGAAAATGAAACAATAATGTTGCAAATGCACATGAGGTTTATCGGTAAAGTTGTTTTAGAAATTCTCGACTTGTCCAAACACTTGCCATTAACAGTGTGTTATCACTTGGAAATGCGCATGGAGGAGGGGTTAGGACTTAGGAGGTATGGGATTCATCAATGTTGTGTACATGGGGGATGTGAGAGAACTATTTGTTATTGGTTGTTTTACCGTTGACTTTTCTTTTATGTGTAAATATTCATTGTTATACCACATACAAAAAAAGGGGATTTATGGACTTGAGATGAATGATTATTACATATCGTGAATCCAAATCATTCATATTTCTAGCAGACGTTGGTGGTGCGTCGGACGGAGGGGGAGTTCTCCAACACATGGATAAGGCACGGGTTCGCTCAAAGCGTATTATAGTTGACGATTGGCAGAAGGTGTTGGTATAATCATGGACGGATACAACCCCTTTTAGTCGGGTACATGACCCACACTTGGGTCCCACCATATATTATAGGCAAAAAACAATTTTTTTCTAAATCCATATTTTGTCTCTAATTTAACATTTTTTGCACCCAAGTTGCTTGAAAATCCAAAACAATTAAAACTTGAAAACTCATATATAATAATAATAATTTTTTTATTAATTAATTTTTATATAAAGTGATACCCTACATTATGGTTCTGGATCCGTCACTGGGTGCATTAGCGGTTCTTCAACCCCTTGCATGGATAGACGAAGGGTTTATCGGTGATGTTTTATAGGCTGAGGGAGTTTACGGGTGGTGGTGATGATTTTTATGAGCAGTGAAGACCAATGAAGATTTTTTTTTTTTTTTTTTTTTATAATTATTTTAATTATTTGAAAAAAAATTCAACTAGTTGATAAATAAATTCAAAAGTACTAGATTCTTGTAAATACATTTCCCAACCTTATGTTTTAGTAAAGAACTCGACTCTTTTCTTTTTTCTTTTTTCGGAACGGCAGACATTCATGACTGTTAGATATGGAATTTGGTTTATGTTGAAAATGTGATGGTTCGTTCCTTTGACTTTAGAAGTTTCGAATTAATCCGAAAATAAAAAGTATCCTAATGGCGGCTATTCACATAACATATAATAGAATATAATTAGTTTGGTGTTGTTAAAATTCACATCATAGGCTTCATATGATTAACATTAATTATACATTTCTAACCATTTTTATAAAGAACTTTCTACCTCGCGTTTCATATAACATAATGATGGTTATCGACAAAAATCCGATAAGACTATCCAGGGCGGTCCTGAAGAATTAAATATCCTTAAAGGCCCATGACGAGTTAGAAAAAAATGACTCTTATCGTTATTATAAGTTTTTATTTTTAAATAAAAATATATAGAATAGATAATAAAAAAAATTAGGCCCTGTACAGCTGCCCACTTTGCCCCTCTCCCCCCCTCCCCCCAATGAAAGTATCAGGTATGGTCACTAGTGAAAAGGTAGCTACCTCATCGGTAAACTATTCCACAAATCTTTTCACAAAATATGGAAATGGTATTCACTAGAGAGAGAGAGAGAGAGAGAGAGAGAGAGAGAGAGAGAGAGAGAGAGAGAGAGAGAGAGAGAGAGTTTCTTCTCTCTTTCGTGTGAAGTTCCATAACCACCACCACTCCACTCCGCACTTACTAGGACCCAGGGTGGTGTTCATCGATGGTTACCCCCATCCACATCAGCTTCTACACGTGAAACACTTCCCATACCTTTAACCTAAGGAATGAATGATTTATCCGAAATAACAAACTTTTTATAGAACTGAAAAAATATCACTCACTGCAAAATGTCATGTTCCGAAATATCTTGTATACATTCCGGATGTACACACATTCTTTTGTGAAATGGTCTGGAATCTGACATGTACATCCCGAACAATAGAGTGCACATTCTGCGTTGTGCATACAATAATGAGTTTACTAAACAATCATTCATTATGTTGATAAACTTAAAACATCAACTTTCGTTTCCGTTTTTTTTTTCCGATTGGTCTAAATTTCTCTCTAAATCTAGCCATCATTCAACATTCCCCAACGAGCCACTACAATAAATATAGCCACTAGCGGCGACACCAATAGCGGCGATAGCACATTTAGCGGCAACTTATCAAATTGTCTCCGCTAAAGATGTTGTCGCCGCTATTGGCGTCGCCGGTAACGCTTAGTGACCCGAATCCACGTTTTCACCTTCTGGTAAATGCCAACCATTCGATCGCGTTTCTAATCCAATGGCTGAGGTTGTCGTGGAACACACAAAACCAATACCGGCGACACAAAGTCACCGCTAAAGACCTAAAACCGTCGCTGCTAAAGGTAAAAAAAAAACGCGCCTTCTTTTCGCTCTTTATATGTCGCTACTATTGGTTCGTGTTGCTGATATTGCTTTAGTTGTCGCCGCTAAAGGTCGATGCTGATTTCATCTAGTCGATTCCACTTTCTGCCTTTTGCTCTCATTTTCTTCCATTTCTCATTTGCTCCGACATTCTCCCTCTCCCGACGATTCTCCCGCTGATTCTCGCCCATAGTAGATGAAACACCTGCAGCCACCGAAAACTTCCTTGTTTCCCCTCTCCGGCCACCGACGCTATTGGTGTTGTCGATTTCCTCCTCCAAGGTTCGTGTTTACTTCCTCATTTCTTCCTTTCTTTCTATTTTAATGTCGATTTCCATAAGCATTTGTGATTAATTGAAATTCTATTTTTCAAAAAGCTTTTTCCTCTCGGGCCACCGCCACTACCGCCGACTGTAGAACCACCACCACTACTACACTAACTACCGATTTCTGGCCACCACAGGTTCTATTTACTAATTTTGGAGATTATTTGCAAAAAATATGTGTTGCTGATATTGCTTTAGTTGTCGCCGCTAAAGGTCGATGCTGATTTCATCCAGTCGATTCCTCTTTCTACATTTTGCTCTCATTTTCTTCCATTTCTCATTTGCTCCGGCATTCTCCCTCTCCCGACGATTCTCCCGCTGATTCTCGCCATAGTAGATGAAACACCTGCAGCCACCGAAAACTTCCTTGTTTCCCCTCTCCGGCCACCGACGCTGTTGGTGTTGTCGATTTCCTCCTCCAAGGTCGTTGTTTTACTTCCTCATTTCTTCCTTTCTTTCTATTTTAATGTCGATTTCCATAAGCATTTGTGATTAATTGCAATTCTATTTTTCAAAAAGCTTTTTCCTCTCGGGCCACCGCCACTACCGCCGATTGTAGAACCACCACCACTATTACACTAACTACCGATTTCTGGCCACCACAGGTTCTATTTACTAATTTTGGAGATTATTTGCAAAAAATATGTGTATTTGGTGTATATATGGTTTATGTGTGTATTTGGTATATATATGGTATATGTGTGTATTTGTTATATGTATATGTGAATCTGGTGTATGTGTGTGAAAATTTGTGTATTTGGTATAAATCTGTTATTATGTATGTAGCTGAAAATATGTGTTTTTGGTATACGTAGGATGCTATTGTTTTTTGATATAATGTTCAGAATGTGTGTCTTTTATGTATCTGTGGTCTGTGTGTATGTGAAAGTATGTGTCTTTGATGTTATTATATATGTATGTAGGCAGGGACGGCTCAACGAGTTTGGGGGCTCTAATCGAACCAAAAACTGGGGCCCTTTAGTCTATACTATACTCAAATTCTAGAATAAAAACAAATATAAAAGTGAAGGTTGTTTTTTTTCTCTTTCACAAAAACTGCAACTTGCGTGTTTTAATTAAAAGGAGAATTCAAACTTGTAGGATTATTTTAACTCAAATACGCACAAATCGATGAATAAACCACATACATAGAAAACACTCAATAACAAACATTCCTTAGCTTCATGTAACATCCCAAAAATACAATCTAAAAATTTCGTTTTTAATCAGTGTGAAAACCTAATATCCATCTACCCATAATAAAACCATGCAGTCGTATGTCTAAAATATCATAAACAATGTCACATATCACTCTCATGTCAAAATCTCATGTCAAAATATCGAGTCTAACTCCAGGCTGAAGACTGTGGTGGTGCCATGCGATCATCCCGAGCCCTCCCAGTGCTAGTGGGAGTACCTGAAACCAAAAATGAAAACAGTCAGCCCGAAGCTTAGTGAGTCTCCCCAATCTATCACATACCATCTACACATAGCATGCACTAGGAGATCGGGCCTCGCCCACCACTCGTGGAGATACGGGCCCTCGCCCACCCTCCGCTAACTGGGAGACGGGGGGCCCCGCCCACACTCCACTATCTAGGAGAACAGGCTCGCCCACACTCCACTATCTAGGAGATACGGGCCTCGCCCAATTCCACTATCTCTGAGGTACGGGCCTGCCATGCGCTCAGCTACTTCGAGATACGGGCCTCACCCAACTCAGCTATGATGAGATACGGGCCTCGCCCACACTCAACTACCAAACCCAACATACAAGTATCACACATACAACTGTAAAGCTAACCTACTGTTCATACATCATAGTCAACTACTACTATAAGATACGGGCCTCGCCCACACTCTGCTAAGATAGGATAACGGGCCTCACCCACACTCTGCTACTAATAAATTAATCTACTACGGGCCGGCCTTGGAGTCGTAGACCCGGTCCTACTGGAGGAGAGAAACTCACCTCGTATAACTGGCTGCTGATATCCCGAGTGAGAAATCCGTGTTTGCTGCTCCGGCGACTCTCCGACTACAATAACACATAACATTCTGAATCAACTGATGATTCCTCATGGAGTAAATAAACCAATTTACCCCTGTTCAAAGTCAAAGTCCTGGTCAGAGTCAACTTCCAGGTTGACTCTACTCGCCGAGTCCTACAATGGACTCGCCGAGTTCCTAACTCACAATTCTCCAACTCGCGACTCGCACTCGCGAGTCGAGACGTAGACTCGTCGAGTCCCCTCTACTTCCAGATCTTGTCCTAACGCACTGAGTCCTCTTCTACGCACTGATTCAACTCACAACTCTCAATCGGAGAAATAGAAATTGAGTTTGCGCTCCGACTCGCCGAGTCCAATGACGACTCGTCGAGTCCTATGCATGTCTTCCCTATACAGTTGATTCTAATCGATACCAAAGCATCAATTCATAGATCTGAGTTCTAGGGCCGTATAAACAGTAAAGTTGCCAACTTACGTACATGCATAGATTATGAATCTATAAAACACCCAAATAAGCTAGAAATGGGAACCTAGGGTTGGAACCAGGCCTTGTTTGGCATAAAGGTAGCTACTTTGAGCTCCTGGAGCTCAATGATGTCCAGATCTATAGTTCCCTACCCTAAGGGAGCTCCAATCTTGAGTTTGGACCATGAAATGTCCCAAAAGTGGCAAAACAAGCATATATGAAGATCTACTAGGAAAAATGAACAATGTAGAGGCTTTATTACCAGATGAAGTAGAAAAAGGAAACTAGCTTCGGGATCTCCTTCTTCTCTTTGCACCTTTCTCTTTCCTTCTCTTCTACACCTTCAAGGATACACCAAAAACACTCAAAATCAAGAAGGAAACACTCAACTCACCAATGGAGGGCTAGGTTGTTTGAAGGGTAACGCTCTAGAGGTGCTGGAGGCTGGGATGGGGGCTATAAGGACGTTTAAATAGGGTACAAACCCTAAGGATTAGGGTTTCATCCAGACTGGCCTACTCGTCGAGTCAAGACGCGGACTCGCCGAGTAGGTCACTTAAAACCCCCGACCAATCCTGGCATCTACTCGACGAGTTAGGGCTACTACTCGTCGAGTAACTCTTTATATAAAAAAAACATTTAGTGAATTAATACGTACCAGGAACGGGACGTTACAATTCTCCCCCACTTATCTTAGACTTCGTCCTCGAAGTCTGCTGTCTCTTGGAAACAACTCTGGTAGTGCTCCCTCATCTCTTCCTCGGGCTCCCACGTCCACTCGAACCCTTGCGTGCTGCCACTGCACCTTCACAAATCTACTCTCTTGTTCCTCAGCTCTTTACCTTGCGATCTAGAATCGCCACTGGTCTCTCGATTACTCAGGTTGTCGTCAACCTGAATGTCCTCCAGGGGGTACCATGCTAATCATCCACTAAGCACTTCCGCAACTGAGAAAACATGGAACGTGCTGTGGATCTGGCTGAGCTCTACTGGAAGGTCTAACCGATAAGCAACTCGACCCACCCGGGCCAAAAACCCTAAACGGGGACCAAATGAATCTGGGCCCAGATTGCCCGCTTCCGAAATCTGATAACACCCTTCCAGGGTGACACTTTCAGGAGGACCATATCGCCCACTGAAACTCCAAGTCGAACGCCGCTTCCGGCGTAAACTATTTCTTCCGGCTTCTGAGCAGTTTGGAGTCTGCTCCGAACTTGCTGAATCCGCTCCGTAGTCTTGAGTACCACCTCTGTACTCCACATGACTCGCTGACCGACCTCTCCCCAATAGATTGGGGTCCTACACTTCCTCCCTAGAGGCATCTCGAAGGGAGGCGGTCTATACTGGAGTGATAGATGTTGTTATATGAAAATTCTGTTGGATTAGGTGTCTAAGCCCATAACTATAATTGGTATGTACTTGAATTGATAGCAACACAGTCCTTTTGGGTTGCCCTCAACCTAGCAACTGGACAAGGAAATTATGAAAGGAGAGATATTAATTTATAAGATTAATAAATTAATATAAATGATTTATTAATATGTTAAAAGATTAATATATTAATTAGAAATCATTATGTTTAATTAATAGTTAGCCAGAAATTAATCAGAATTAATTTTGGGGTTAAAAGTATTAATTATAAAGTGCAGGGACTAGTTTGCAATTATCTAATAGTTGAGTGGAAGGCTCCAGAACCTCCTTGGAAGGAGGTGGACGAAATCTATTGGGGAAACCCTAAGGATTTCGTCCAAGGGGCTTTGGATAAGGCCTTTGGATAAGGCCTTTGGATTAGCTTAGGCCCCAAGCAAAGGAGTATTAGGGTTTTCCCTAAACCCTAGATCCCTCAGCTATATAAGGAGCCTCCCAGCTCCTAAATTCGGCCACTCCTACCTTGGAAGAAACCCTAGGCCGAATTTTGCATACCCTAGCCTCTCTCTCCTTCAAGTTTCCTTCTTGCTAGTTCTTGGGTGTGATTCCATTAGAGGCATTACATTTGTGGTGCTAGGCTTCCAAGAAGATCAAGTTCAAGAGGATTAACAATTGTTTGCTATAACAATTGAAAGGTATGTAATTCTAAACCCTAGTTTGTTAATTTCGAAATTAGCCTCTCTCCTCTAGGGTTCTTGTTTGCAATTCAAAGTTATATGTTCAATAGTTAAAACATAGATCCAAAGTAGGTTGCATGTGAACTTAGGAATTGTTTTTCTAGTTTATTTGTTTTACCTAAAACCCATCAGTGGTATCAGAGCCATTGTTTGTTTTAAATTGAATTGCTATAATAGTTGAATTGCAAATTAGGGTTTATAGCCATTAAACCCTAAAGGCCAAAATTTCGTTTTTAGGGTTTTTGGTTCAAAGGGTTTTTCGAAAAACCCTAGCCTCCATGAACCCTAATCGAAATTAGGGTTAGGGTTTTGGAAAACCCTAGCCTCCTCCCTTGAATTTCGAAATTTGCTTGTTGTTTTAGGGTTTTTCTTATTTTGGATAATTATTACTTGATTGGATAATTATTGCCTAATTGGATAATTGAGAAAAATAAGGAAATTATCCTTTACCCTAATTTTCGAAATCTAGAGGGATAAGGATTAGGATTAAATTAATTGTTTAATTTGATTAGATAATCCTTACAAGATTTAATAAATTAATTAAAAGTTAATTAATAGATAATTATTAAATCTAGTTATTTGGTTTATTTTAAATTTAAATTAATAGTTTAATTTTTCGAAATTTATATATAAACCTTAAAGTTTTAAAAAGTTTAAAACACACCTTATATATGTATTATAATTAAAAGTTTAATATTATATATGTATAAGAATATGGTCAGTCAAATCGCTAGTATGCCTCATTCACGAAGCTAGTCTATAAGGGGGGTATAAGGAAACTGCCTATAAAATGGTAGTTGAATGGGTGTCCACTCTCACCCACCGCTTCCTTGATTAGTGGAGGGTCGTTAGCAGAACGGGTTTGATAGGACAACTACATCTCATTAAAAGTATAATGTTATTAAAGAA